AGTCTTTAACCAAAAACTGCTCAGCAAGTCACCTATCTCCAGCACCCAGACATCCAGCTCCCAATGGGATCCAAACCCCAAATAGATCCGTTTTACTCTGTATAAAGGTTATGTAGGGTAAACTCATAAATTGTCCACCCTCTATAACACTGATGGGGAGAGATGCACAACTGTTTGCTCCCCTGAGTATTAATCACTTACTCTGGGTTTACTAATAAACCAGTGATTTTTATTAAGTATAAAAAGTAGGATTTAAGTGATTTTAAGTAATAACAGACAGAACAAAGTAAGTTACCAAGCAAAATAAAACAAAACACGCACGTCTAAGCCTAATACATTAAGAAACTGAATACAGGTAAATCTCACCCTCAGAGATGATCCAATAAGCTTCTTTCAAAGACTAGACTCCTTCCTAGTCTGGGCCCAATCCTTTCCCCGGTACAGTTCTTGTTAGTTCCAGCTCAGGTGGTAACTAGGGGATTTCTCGTGATTGGCAGCACCCTTTGTTCTGTTCCACACCCTTTTTATATCTTTGGCACAAGGCGGGAATCTTTTTGTCTCTCTGGGTTCCCACCCCTCCTTCTAAATGGAAAAGCACCAGTTTTAAGATGGATTCCAGTACGAGGTGGCATGGTCACTTGTCCTGTGAGACCCAAGCCTCCATTCTTCTTGGCCTGGCTCACAGGAAGGCTTGCAAGTAAACAGAGCCATTTACAACCAATTGTCCTAGTCAATGGGAGCCATCAAGATTCTAAACCACCATTAATGGCCCACTCTTTGCATAATTACAATAGGACTTCAGAGTAATACTTCATATTTTTGCTTCAGATACAAGAATGATACATTCATACAAATAGGATGAACACACTCCGTAGATTATAAGCTTTGTAATGATAGAATCATAGACTATCAAGGTTGGAAGGGACCTCAGGAGGTCATCTAGTCCAACCCCCTGCTCAAAGCAGGACCAATCCCCAGACAGATTTTTGCCCGAGATCCCTAAATGGCCCCCTCAAGGATTGAACTCACAACCCTGGGTTTAGCAGGCCAATGCTCAAACCACTGAGCTATCCCTCCCCCTTACAAGAGACCTTTTGCGTAAAGCATATTCCAGTTACATTATATTCACACTCATAAACATATTTCCATAAACCTATGAAGTGCAATGTCACACTTGTCTAGTAGGGATTAAATAATTTGGAAGTTGTTTCAAGGCGCTCCACTTCAATTGCTGGAAGCAAGGAGGAACTCCTCTTCATCCTCTTGGATGCAGGAGAGTGGCAACCTTCTCCCTTCCAACCCCTGACTGTGGGAGCTTCTCTCATCCTTATATCCCATTGGGAGAGGCAGAAAGTGGCTTTTTATTCTCTTGTAATCCCCTTTATTTCTCTTTAAAAGGTGGGGGGGGGGAGAGCAAGGACAGAAGTAATAAGACTTTTGTTCCTCCTTTCTGCAATCACACCCCACCCTATGCTGCTGCTCATAGGCTTGTTCCCCACCCCCACTAGTAATAGCAGAGCTAAACCTTTGTCTACACTACTGGATTAGGTGAACGTAAGCTGCCTTGCATCAATCTTGCTGTTGAAGTGTCTTCAGTTAAATTTGGCTCCCGCTGACGTAAGTGCTTTTCTATGCTGATTTAGTAACACCACTTCCTCCAAGCGGCGTAGAGTCACGGTCAATGTAATAAGGTCGACACACTGTTCAGTTTACACACTGCGTTGCTTACATTGCTCGTTACTGGCTTTCAGGATTCGTCTCACAACGCCAAACGCTGATAATACAATCGATACAAGCATTCCTGGTGAGGACGTGCACCACTGACACAAGAAGCTAAGTGCGTGCACGAACTTAGCAAGTGATATTTAATAACTGTGGTGGCTGTATGCCGATGTAAGTTAGGTTGACATAATTTGGTAGCGTGGACATTGCCCTAAAAAGTCCATGTGCTCTGAAGCTATAGCTAGCCATGTGAAAAATGACCAAATTCTTTAGAAGTTTAACTACAGGTATTGGGCCTTTAGAAATGCTCCTACTGGGGAGTGGTCTCTTACAATAAAATTCACTTTTTAAAATAAAATTTTAAATGTTGACTCATTTATCCCTGAATTTTAGTGCTTTTATTCTATTCCCAGGTGTATATACACACAGGCCCTCTCAGAGGTCCAGAGAGACCTGGGCCACTTCCAGCTTTTGAGGCCACTAGCCATAATAAAAATAAAAAATGACATGTGATCTAATCTTGTGCCATCAGAACTGATATATTTTTATTAATATTTATGAACATTTTTAACTCTTTAATATGACAAAATCTATATCAGTTAACAAAAAAATTGTCATTTACTAAATCACATCTCTTATTTGCTTAAATTTGCAGCTCTAAGCTGAGAGAGTGTGTCACATTTTGATCCGATAGGGATGCACATAAAAACAAGTTGCGAAACTTATCAAATGCCAAAAAATTAACAAGTGTCTAAATTTGAGGCCCCCTTTGAGCTTGAGGCCCAGGCCAAATGGCCCTCCTGGGCCCCCCTCTGATTCGCCCTGTATACACATGTGGTAGAGACATCCATGTGATATTTATCATCTGCCTCATCTGCACTCCACCCACTAATCAATCTCCTTAGGACTCTTAACATTCAGAATACGTAGAAGTGTCAGCTGCTTTTAGAAAATAAATAAAAAGCTACAGAAAAATAGCACAACTGATGAGTGCAGTCTTCCCAGCTGTGTTGCTAAAATCTTCCACCACACACTGTTTTTCTTTAGATGTATGGTGGTAGTACACAGGCTTTATTGGCATGACCTATGTTATTCATGAGGAGTTGTCAGGATGACCTGCAAGTCTCACAGAGACCTAGAAAGTGTGGCATAAGTAAGATACAAAAGAGCTATTTTAGACTTTTTATTAATGTACTGGTACTGTAATTCATAGCTTTCTGCCTGCAAGGAACTTTCCTTTTTAAGGAAAATCGGGGTACAAAGTGGGAAAACAATTACTCATAACATTTTTTTATAAACTTTTTGAAAGCTGCTTTTCTGTCAGCTAAGAAGTCCCTAAAAATCACTGTCTTGCTACTAGTCTGAGCTAGAAACAAGTGCTTTATGCTACTGGAAAACCTGGATTTTCAGCTCCAGTGGGATAAAGTAAGTGTATCTAGCTCAGCTAATCATAAGGCCTTGTATCTTTAAAATGGTTGCCAATTCCAGGACTAGCGATGTAAAGAAATGTAATTACTAATCACCAGGGCATCTAAACATCAAAATAAACTAATTGAAGTATCTGTATTGTCCTGACTGATGATCTCTTCTGCACCCTTGATGAGGCTGGATTGCCTCCTTAAAGGGAAATACTTAAAGGGAATTGGGGCTTTCTGGCCTAAAAATAGCTGCTTCTACTGCAGGAAGACCTGTGTAAACAGATATCTTGTTTTGCACTCTGAAAGTGGCAGGAAAACTTTTCCTCATATCTTGTAGAAGGGAGACCTATGCCTGGCTGCAACTTAGTACCTTATCTCCAGCTCCTGCAGGTAGGGTTGCCACTTTGGTTGGCCATATTCCTGAAGGTTTTGTCACATGATGTAATCTTTAATTAAAAATTTATCTTAATTCCTGGAGACCCCAGGACAATCCTGGAGGGTTGGCAACCCTATCTGCAGGCTTCATCTTCTGTATTATAGTGCATAGTTCTTGTTGATCATATAGCAAATATATAATCCGCAATCCCTGCTTCTTTGCCTAATTCATGTTGTTTGAGGGCTTGGAAAGGAGGAAGGAAGGAAGGAAACATTTTGTGATAGTGTGTTTGGTTTTTTTTTGTTTTTTTTTTTTAGTGTTTGTGAGTTGCTCAGAGGTTTGGAATGTTAGTAATCATGGAAATGAATTCATGCGCACAGTTCAAGTATAGTGGTAAGAGGCAAAATTAATGCCACTATTCCTTACATGCAGAAATAAAGGAATTTATTCTATGCAGGGAAGTGGGGAAAAGGCATAGATCTCCTCCCTTTTTGTGTCCCCCCCCCCCACCTGACCCTCCACTTCCCCTTCCTCCACCATCAGCAGCCTGACATGAGCCATGAATACCTACACCTGCCCCCTGTGAATTTTAATGAGTGTTGTGACCTGGTGCAAATCTGAGTGGTGTGGCAATCCATGTACCTGGTTGCAACACCACCCAGTCGCATTGTCACTAAGGTTTGGCCCAGCCAAAAGGTGGTTAGACCATGATCACGGTGGCACCACCCACTCCCCAGTTCTGCAGCCAATGCTGTGGATACCATGACCATGTGAAGTCTCTTCATTTACATATTATAACTTTATTGCAAGATACAGTAATCAATAGCACATTAATAACTACTGGAATCCAATAGTTCTAGTAATTTGGGCCGAGATTATGCCTGAGCCTATTACAGGAGGACAGGTGTGAGGAGAGGAGATTACTCTTCCTCTTATCCCTGCACAAGGGCCAGTCTCATTGCTTATGCTGGGACTGCTATCTCCCACTGCTCCAGGGGTGTGTTTTCCCCAAAGTGGGTTGGAAAAGGGTAAGGCCATGGCCACATGGCTCCAGGCTGTGGGGTAGTAGGTTGCATTCATATTTAAAAAACATACTTCTCCAAGACAGGAAGCTGGGAGATAGATTGTGCCTCTTGAGATGTAATCCATTTCACTGCTCTCAGGGTAGAGCAACTTCATGGACATTGCTGGCACAAATTTGATACTTGAGCTGTGAAACCCAGAAAACTTTTACAGTTTCCATTGTTGACTTGCCATGTTGGTGGTTTCCTGATTTAGGAATTTATAGGAGTGTGATCATTATAGAGAAATGAGTGTCTGAAACTTAATTACTCGTGTTATCATTCTGTGGACTTAATACTGTGTGGACTTAGTTCTGTACTTACTGAACATTCAGCCTGTCATTTTAACATGTATCTTCAGTGTAGAAACTTGGAAATGTGTTAAACTGTGTTAAAATAAAACTTGTCTTTTAATTTTTATAGCTTCTTCAACAACTGAAGCGATTGATATGTGACCTCTGCAGATTATACAACCTTCCTCAACATCCAGATGTTGAGATGTTAGATCAGCCATTACCAACAGGACAGGTAAATCCAAAAGATCTAGACATCTAATGGAAATTAAAAGCCTGTTCTTTAATTCTAACAAGATTATATATAGCAAGAAGGAAAGGAATGATCTTAAAGTAGCCAGTGTTTGGACACACTGCTTTATATTGCTATTGCTTTATACCAAAACTTAAGGCACCTGTCCTTCCTTTTTAATTTTGTTGTAGGATTTACTTACCTTTTCTATCATTGAGAGAATAATGTACAGCTCCCCTTTCCCTCCCTTCCCCCCCTCCCAATTCCCAGTGAGAAAGAGGTTGTGGGGAAGTGTTCATGTGTACAACCTCTGGACTGTCAGTTGTGAACTTGGCCCAAGATTTTAGTTTGGGGACTCAAAATACCTGTGTAGAATATTTTCCATCAATTGTTTGACTTTTTTCCCATGCTTCTGGAACAACTTTGAGTAACTATTTTTATACTCATTCTTTTACTGCATATATCAGTAGGTGCTCAGTGAACAAAGGACATTCCTTCTCCATCACCCCATGCCCTGAAGCAGCTAGCAAGAGGCATGTTGATAGTGATTGCCTTTTCTATTATTGTTTGTTTTCTTCTCCTCCTATCTATTTATTTGCCATTCTTTGGGCTCATCTGTCAAAATTAACTCCACTGTTCCCCTTCCACTTAGCCGTCATCTACTGCCTCATAACTCCTGGCTCCCCTCTCTTCTTCATCTGTCATCTAGTCTTATCCATGGTGACTTTAATTATTATATTGACTGTCTCATCTGACCCATTGGCCTTCTACCTTCTCTCTCACCACCTCATTCAGTCTTCAATCCTGACTCAGCTCTGTCACATGAAAATACAGCCATTCCTTGGACCTAGTCTTCACTAAGCACGGGTCTCTCTATTACCTCTCTTGCTGAATTCCTGATCTCAGGCCAATATATCAGCATCCCACAACTCTCTTTTGTGACTTTCAGACCATCAACATCTCTAAATTTTCCACTGTTCTTGTTGTCCTTCACATCTCTAGTCTGTCCTCCCAATCTGACTTTCACCCACTGCACTGCTGCCACCGCTACCCCTCTCCACAAATGTACTTTGCTCCAGCCATGACCCGTATTGGCTCCCATGGCATTGAAATCTCTGGAGAAAAATCTAGAGAACTTCTGCCAATGCAAACTTTCCCTTTATCTTTTGCCATTACTGTCTAGCTCCCCAAATGACTCTACTACTTCCTCATTGAATCCATTGTCTGTCTGCCATCTTCAACTGCTTTCTCAGTCCCGTCTTCTTGTCTAACATGCTTCTTCATCTTCAAGGAGAGAGTTGTATTTTGTTATCTTCATTTATTCCTACCCTCCTGCTCTTGCTAGTCACCGATCTTTATCTCTCACCTATTCTCTTCCGACTCATACTCCTCTGACAGCCAGCCTCTCATCTTAAACCATAAAAGTCTCCTTTGTACACAGAATGGAAAGGGTCAAATAAGCTTTGGTAAGCCACATCATCTTAAAAACAAAAGCTTTGACTCTGACTAATATATTGCCTCCCCCTTCTACTTCATCTTTCAACTTAAACAGTCTGCCTACAACCACTGCATTAACTTCCTCACCTCAAACCACTGTAATCTACCTTCTACCATCTCCATTTAATGGAAATTGATGTCACTCGCTCATTCTCTTTGTGGCTGTCATAGGGGGCCTATGTTCAGTCCTCTTTGATCTCTCATGTGCCTCTGATACTATTGATTCTTAACCTGCCTTTTCTTGGCTTTCATTACTGTTCTTTACTGATTCTCCTCTTACCTCTCCAGCCACTTTGTCAGTGGTTTCTTTGGCGGCATCTCCTTCTCTGGAAGAGGGGTCCAAGAATAGAACCCGGAGAGACTCCACTCACATGGGCCTGTCTACTCAAGTGTACTTCTCCACTTTGGATGTCATATCTAGCTGTCTTAGACATCTCTGCCTGGATGGTTTTGTTATCTCAGGCTCCCCAGGGCCGCAACTGAGCGTATCTTTCCTCGCAGATGCTTTGTTACAATTAACCCCACCATTCTCCCTGTCAGCATGGGCTATTATGTGGAATTTTCAACTCCTCCCTTCTCCACCCAAATACATAAACATCCAGGCTGTGCCATTCTGTTGCTCTTTCCTCTGATGCTTCAAAAATTCACCCACTCCACTTTCTGGTCCCCATAGCCAAATTGCTTAGGCAGCCTAACTGGCTTCTGCTTTAGCTATTCTAATCTTTTTTTGTTATATAATTTGGATTAATTTTGTCTGTCTGACTATTGCCCACCACAACTTGAGTCACTTTTCTACTTCCCCATGTACTGCACATAACCTCTTGGTCCTATCTCATGGAGCCTTTGCCTAAATCTGACATGGCTTTCTCCTTTTGTGTTTTCAGCTATTTAAATCTGAAACGTAACGGTGCTGTAATTGTAGGGGTCCTGACCCAAAAAGGATTTTTTGGAGGGGGGGGGGGGGTTGCAAGGTTGTTGGGGGGGGGGGGGGGTTGTGGTACAGTTACCCTTACTTCTGCACTGCTGCTGCTGGTGGTGCTGCCTTCAGAGCTGGACAGCTGGAGAGTGGTGGCTGCTGGCCAGGAGCCCAGCTCTGAAGGCAGAGCCACCGCCAGCAGCAGTGTAGAATTAAGGATGGCATGGTATGGTATTCCCACCCTTACTTCTGTGCTGCTGCCTGCGGAGCTGGGCCCTCAGTCAGCAACCGCCACTCTCTGCCACCCAGCTCTGAAGGCAGCAGCGCAGAAGTAAGGGTGGCATGGTATGGTATTGCCTCCCTTACGTCTGCGCTGCCACTGTCAGGGCGCTGCCTTCAGAGCTGGGCACCCAGCCAACTGCCGCTGCTCTCCGGCTGCCCAGCTCTGAAGGCAGTGCAGAAATAAGAGTGGCAATACTGTGACCCCCTCTAAAATAACCTTGCGACCCATCCCTGCAACTCCCTTTTGTGTCAGGGCCTCCAATTTGAGAAACCCTGGTCTCCCCCATGAAATCTGTATAGTGTAGGGTAAAAGCACACAAAAGACCAGATTTCATGGGGGGAGACCAGATTTCACGATCCGTGATGCATTTTTCATGGCCATGAATTTGGTAGAGCCCTAAGTATATGTAATAGGCTCTGAGAATATTCCTTTTATTTGTATGTGTTAAGATAACAACATGGCTTCTAAACTCCTGTAGAACAGCAAACAGTTGTCATGTGGTAAAATAACTTACAGTAATATAGTAATGACTAAACGGGAATGTGACCAAAAATGAGCAAGATTATAGTTGTATAGTTAATCTCTCTTTCCCCAGTTACACACAAGGAAAAGGAAACTCCACTCTGGGATGGACTTGTAAGTCACTAGATCACTATAAAAGGAAGTAGATTCACTGAATAGTTCTGGTCACACCAGGAAGCTCGAGGCAAACCTGAGATAATCTACAGCAAGTTACTGAAGAATTGATTCAACTTGCTGTTCCATATAATATGCGACAACTCATTAAAAATTTGAACTAAACCACATAGTCAATACCTTACAATAATTGTTGCACAATTTATATTTACTATAGAAGTAAACAGATTTTAGTTAGCTCATGACTTAATTGAGGCCATCATAATATCCATGTGGACTCCTGAATGTTCTGAAAACCTAGATAGCTTTCTGAGGTCATGACAGTCATCTATTTCATTTTAGTAGGTTACCACTGTCTTTAAATAGCTATCCTTGTATCATATCCTTTTTAAGCTCCCACTTTGCTAGATTTAATGTTACAGTAGCTAAACTAATAATGGCATGGCAGCATTTTAACTTGGACTTTGCACAGAAATATATCTGTACCACTTTTCCTGGTAATGGAGTAAATAAGACTAGGCATGCATCACCTTTCTGTTTGATCCATTTAGATTAAGCTGCAGTCCTGTGTGAATCTTGGTAAATGTAAATGTCATATGTACCAGAGCTGCTACTGTGATGCTAAGCAAAAAAAAAAAAAAAAATCCATACAATTCATGAAACCTAATTTTGTATTCCAGAATGGAACAACGGAAGAAGTAACGTCAGAGGAGGAGGAGGAAGAAGATATGGGTGAAGTATGTGTATGAGAATTTGTTATACTGTAAATCTGATGTTTGTGTTCAAGAGGCTGCACGATCCTTGCCTTGATTGCTAATGAAAACAAAATGCACATATGCTAGGCAAAAAATGGCCCTGTGAAAAGTGCTGCGTATGAATGTTGACCAAAAAGTTCAACGCTTTGCTGGCGTTCTCAGATAACCCTTCATGCACGAAAATATAGTTTCTCAAAGTATTTTGCTGAAAATGAGGTACTTGGATGTTGAAACATGGACATCTGTTCATTGTTTGTCCGAACAATATATAAAAAGCTTGTGCCATATCAGCAAGTTTGCATTGTAAACCCTTATTTCCAATAGTTTATAAACTGGCTTTGTTTATGTTTTAAAAAGTTTCCCAAGGTGGAACTGAGGCCTCATGTTGAGAGCAAATTTGTTCACTAACTCTCATAAATCAGCTGAACCATTTAAAAAAAAACTTAACTTCAGATATATTGAAGAGGTGGAGCAAAGTGTGAAACGGCAGAGACCAAACTTTAAGTGGGTAATATGATTGTATAGCAACATGATACTAATTTTAATAAGCTCCTTCATATATGCAACTCCCACCTCAAATTACTTCCCTAATATGCTAGAATGGCTCAAAGAGAAGCAAATGTCTGTGTTTAAACAATATAAAGGTTTTATTAGACAAGAATTGCTCAGGCTTAAAATTTATATTTTTAATAAAAAGGATATTAAATACAGTTCCCTTTGTTTTTTGGAATAGAGAATTAATACAACTTTTTCAAAAAGAACCTAATATATGTACCTCGTGGAATGGAATAACTCTAAAGGAGTCTGCTGTAGCCAGCTACTAGGTAGATCAGAATTAACTAGTGTTGCAGCATTTCTAGAAGTGTCTTAGAACTTGCTTGCTTTTAACCAACCCCGTATTTCTGTACAAATGACACTGGGCAAAAGGGTTGTCTTCACTATATAGAAGCAATGTATTGTTTCCCTGAAGACAGATGAGTGTCAGACATAATCCATTTGAAATCTAGTCCAGATTTTAAAACCATATAATACCCCAAATTATACCAGAGCACTGCTTATGATTATATCCTTTTAAAAATGTTTCTCTCATCTGAAAGAACCTCATAGATGGGAAATGCACACAAAATGCTGTCAAATGCACCAAGTAAGTGAAGACACTTCTAAAACCTTTCCTAGTTTTCAGGCAGTCTCTGACGACCTCAAGGTTTCCAGCATATAGTTTATACTCCCAGTCTGGACTCTTGGGGAAATAACACTTCATTTTGAAGGATTCCAAAGTATGTTACATCCTGTATACTTGCGTTACTGAAATTCAGCCTCCTTTTTAGCAATGAGGATGTCATCTGAGGGGGACAAATGAAGCACAACAGTGGCAGGAGGGAAAAACTTGGACAAGAACCCTAGAGCAAATACTGCTTTTTAGTAACTTATGAACTCTTACCTATCTAAGTATTTGCATGGCCCTCATAATCCTAGTACTTGAACAACTTACAAATAATTATGTTAGCTTCACAACACCCTTTGAGGTAGGGAAGTACTATCCCCACTATTTTTAAAAACAGAGGTTAAATGACTTGTCCAAGGTCAGAATGACTGTATAACTGATACCTGAACCCAGATCTGAGTTGAGGTCTAATGTCTTCAACTGTGACGTACACCCCCTCTGTCCTTTTTAACGTCCATGTAATGCAGATGCTCCCTCTGGCCTCTTTCAGATGAAAGCTTCACATAGTGAACTACATGTACTTTGTTTTTCTGTCTTTCATGTTTGGCAAAAACCAAATGTGGATTAGAAACTCAGCAGTTGTAAAACTTTTACTACTGTGGAAGTGGAAAGTTGCAATTAAGATTCTGTAGAGGATGCTCTAGACAGGTTCATTTCCAGCTTCTCTGGTTACGTTCCCTCTGCTCCCTTCAGAGGTGTTCTAGACCCCTGTTTTCTACTTGTCTCAGTGGACTGGTAAACTGCAACCTCCCCTTCCCACAGCGATGCCTTTTTGCCACCAAAGTCTCTGCCAGCAGAAGTGTAGATGAGTGTGGGCCTTGTGTACAATATCACAGCCTCCCTAAATTACAAGAATGTCCTGTTAATGGTGATAGCAAAGTCTAGGCAAAATAAAAGTAGCATCAAAAGATGACTAATTTGGTACTCTTCACAGTACACCATCTATGCCCCAGAAACCCCAGCATGGAGAGCAATCTTTTGTGCTAACTGGACTTTACAGTTCATATGTTTCAGTGAATTTTCCTCCATCTTGTAGGACATTGAAGACCTAGATCACTATGACATGAAGGAGGAAGAGCCTGTTGATGGAAAGAAATCTGAGGATGAAGGAATTGAAAAAGAGAACCTTGCAATTTTAGAAAAAATCAGAAAGAATCAAAGACAAGACCACCTAAATGTAAGTGTACCTAGGTATTGGACTTAATACACTTACACTGCAGCAGAACCCAGTGCTACATATATCTAGCAAATAAATGTTGCTACTGTGTATGCAAACATTGTAGCTGACTTCTACCATGTATTAGGAAAAGAAGCCTCAAGCCATGAAACTTAAGAGGAGAAGCTAAACTCTGTTAAGCTGGTTTGGTAAAAGACTTCTAAAACTCCAAAGTGAACTGATCACTACCCTAATGTCTTCTCAAAATCCTTCGCTCTGAAGGGGTTTTGCTAGAAGCCTGGATTCCAGAGAGGCACTGTGACAACTTCAAAGTGCTCCATGGCGTGCCCTCTTTCATCTGAGCTGGAAAATGCCAATTTAAATTGAATTTGTTTTGTAAGGTAGATTAAAGAATTTCTGGCATTTCAGCTGAAAAACAACTTTCACACTGATGAGAGTGAAAAAACTTACACCAAATCCATTTTTCACACTTCATAACATTTCTTAGGTCTCTTGCCAGAGGTATCTAGCTAGCTGGTTTTCCTTCTCCATAGTCTGTCTCCTACTTGCCTCCTCTGATAGGAGGACTGTTTTCTCTGCAGGATCAACAGGAAGCAGCTAGGTTGTAAGCGAGAGCTGTTGCTCATACCTCTTTAGAACATTTAAAGATACAAAAGGCAAAATACAGTAATCTCTAATGCAGTCGGTACTTGCAGTTTTACACTTTCTGAAGTATTTTTACACATTTGTGTACTTTATTTAAAAATTAAAAAAAAAAGTGGAGTCCTATCACCCTCTCCACTTTGGCACAGAGTATATCAAAGAAGCTTGACTACTAGCAAAATCTGTTTGATAACCACAGAAGGCAAGCTGTAGGCTGCAAAACACCTTCCTTCTTTCTGATGGTGGAAATCTCACTGTGTAGTTGAGGTGTTAGTGTTGTAGGTATTACTTTCAGGAGGCAGAACTGGGAGCAGTTGTTATCTACAGTATCATCCTTTGGAAAGCCAGCAGAAATATCCCCAGAAAATATAGCAGTAAAAGCACTGCTTAGCCTTGTAGCATCTATCCTCTCCTCAGAGGCTTGGGAACTTCATGTAGCGAATCACACTGTCTGCCAAATAATCTTCCATCTCCCACAGGTTCACTCTGGGAGGGAATTCTATGACCCGTTAATGAAATAGACAGTTCTTTTTATGGGGGAGTTTTTCTTACTAAAAATTAGCATAACATCTCTAAATCAAGATTTTTTTTTTTCTTGATTTTTAAATTGAGGTGATTCAAATAAAACAGCTTTTGAAACCTTCTATTCCTGGAACCAAGACTCCTGCTAAAAAATGGAAATTAGATTAGAGACCACGGCATGCTTGCTATAAAATAAAATATAGTTGGTTCAGTATAGTATCTTCAATGCTTTTCTGAGTGGGATTTTTGAGGACCTTCTACATACTCTATCTGTGTTGTCCCTAAATCTTTATCATGACTGTCCCACTCATAAAGAATCTCTTTAATTTGCTGTTGGTATTTCAGTAGATGTGAGTATTTGGAGACCTGTCATCTGTCTAGAATGAAAATATTGGACAAAAAGTGGTGCTGCTTATTACTGGAACCAATAATATAATCTCAGTAGCTGGGCCTGGGACATATCCAGCTCTATTTTAAGATTTTTCTTGCGATTGTTAGCCTGTGACACCAGTGAAGCCCTAGATAGTTTAGGATCTGGCTACTTGAGACAGCTTCTTCCTTTTCAGTACCATCACAGTTTAAAATAAGTGGAGGCACTGCACCCTGCTTTTCAAAATGGAGTGATTAAGTTGCAAGGTATCCACCATGAAGGTTCCTCAACTAGAACTGCTCCTGTCCCCGCATCAGTCTGACACTGGTTGAATTTGTTAAGCCTGGTGGATCATTCTGAGAGTTGTGCTTTTCTTGAGGTGGTGGATTGAAGGAAATAGGGTGGCTGAATGGAGGGCACTGTGCATTTTGTTGAGTGATTCTTCTATATTCCCATACCCTGACTTCAGGTTCTTGGGTCAGAAAGTTATGCAGTTCAGAATGTTATCCCTAACTTTCGATCTTTAAACCAAGTCAAACTGGACTCTGCTTTTGCCATCCAAGGACTTGACCATTAAAGCTTGATTTCTTTTTTTAAACTTTTTTAAAATGTGTACAACCACTTAGAGCTTCAGGATAGACACCACTTAAAGGAATATGTATATCTAAAATTCATGATCTCATGATGATGGTACAATAATTGTAATTAAAAAACCAAAAACTTGCACAACAGTGTGAGGTGACACAATCCAGTCACTCTGTCCGTGGAAATTAAATGGAGTTGAAAATAGGCCCCATAGTTTTAATTTTATTCTTTATGGTTAAGCTGTGAATTTTCTTTCCTTACAGATTTTGTACTTCCATTTGGCAAACGTTGGCTTTCCTCTTCTCTTTCTCTCTTTTGGAGCTGAAATGAACATTGCTGGTTTGTTTTTTGTTTTTTTTTTCCCACAGCAGCAGCTTCAACTTACATAATAGCTCTTTCTCATGCCAACACACTCTTGTTTATGCACCAGCATCAGCAAGGTCATCCGAGCCCAGGGAATGGTGTATTCAGCTCCTGTAAGGAGCCACAGTATTTGTGTGGGTCACCAGAAATAGTAGCTCTTGTTTTGGTTAAATGCCTTAAAAGATTTTGTTCCTTCGGAGTTGAGATCTGAAAGCTACAGATCCACCACTGAGCAAAAGAACTTGCATTAATTAATCTCATACTTGCATTAATGTCCACTGCTGCACTACTAGACAGCAGATGGTGGAACCATAGCAGAATGTTGATTCTAAAATGGTGTGCAATATGCCCTACATACTAAGAAAAAATGAACTTTGACTCTAAACTGTTTGGCATTAGGCTTTCTTTTCTTATAGCACAGTATGATGGGGAATTCTCTCAGTGCATTGAGGCACAAAGGCAAATCCCAAATTCCTACCTTGTTTTTACACAATTATTGTTCACTTTATCTTCTTCAGAGGATGGCAAAACAAACAAGTACATATGGAATTAGAAAAAGGAATCACATTTTTAATACCCATCAAACCTTCAAATTAAATTATTTCTAATGTTACAAGGAGGAGGCAAATGATAACTATAACTAGTTTTATTTGGGATCCCAAATAAAACTCTATACCAGTCCACCCATATTTTATGTTTCAAGTTTCTCTGCAGTTTAATTTAGTAAGGGCTTTCTGACAGTCAGCACAGCACCAAGTGGGTATTGGAATCCAGAGTTTCACTGGTTGCTTTGTGCTCTTTTTCATAGATTGATAGATTCCAAGGCCAGAAGGGACCACCATCATGATCATCTAGTCTGACCTCCTGTATAACATAGGTCATAGAACTTCCCCAAAATAATTCCCTGAGCAGATCTTTTAGAGAAACATTCAGTCTTGATTTAAAAATTGTCAGTGATGGAGAGTCCGCCACAATCCTTGGTAAGTTGTTCCAGTGGTTAATTACCTTCACTGTTTAAAAAAATACATATTATTTCCCATCAGAATTTGTCTAGCTTCAACTTCCAGCCATTGGATCGTGTTGTACCTTTCTCTGTTAGATTGGAGAGTATATTATTAAATATCTATTCCTCATGTAGGTACTTGTAGACTATTAGTTCACCTTGTCTGTAAGCAAAATAGTTTGAGCTCTTTGAGTCTTTCCCTATAAGGCATGTTTTCTAAGCCTTTAATCTTTCTTTCTCATGGCTCTTCTCTGTAACCTCTCCAATTGTTTAACATGCTTCTTGAATTGTGGACACCAGAACTGGACACAGCATTCCATCAGCAGTCACATTAGTGCCAAATATAGAGATTAAATAACCTGTCTACTCCTGCTAGAGTTTCCCCTGTTCATGCATTCAAGGGTTGCATTAGTTCTTTTTGGTCACAGCATTGCGCTGGGAGCTTGTGTTCAGTTGTTTATCCACCATGACCTCAATCTTTTTCAGAGTCACTGCTTTCCAGGATAGTCCCCCATTGTGTAAATACTGTATGTCCTATATTTTGTTCCTAGATGTATGCATTTATATTTAGCCACATTTAAAATGCATATTGGTTTTGTGCCCAGAATACCAAGTGATCCAGATTGCTCTGCATCTGTGCCCTGTCCTCTTATTTACTACTCCCCAATTTTTGTGTCATCTGCAAACTTTATTAGTTACTTCGTTTTGTTCCAGGTCATCGATTAAAAATGTTAAATAGTATGGGGCCAAAAACTAATCCTTGTGGGATCCCACTGGAATCGCACCTGTTTGATTCCCTGTTTACAGTTACATTTCGAAATGTATCAACTGCCAGTTTTTAATCCATTTAATATGTGCCATGTTAATTTTATATAGTTATAGTCTTTTAGTCAAATGTCATGTGGTACCAAGTCAATGCCTTACACAAATCTAAGTATGTTTCATTTAATACTATTTTATCACCCAAACTTGTAATATCATAAAAAGATAACAAGTGAGTTTGACGATATCTAGTTTCCATAAACCCACGTTGATGGGCATTAATTATATCACCTTCCTTTTAATTCTGTATTAATCAAGTCCTGTATCAGCCGCTCTGTTATCTTGCCCAGCATCAATGTCAGACTGACAGGCCTATAATTACTTTGGGTCATCCTGTTTCCCCAACATTAGATTTCTTCCAGTCTTCTGGAACTTATTGAAAATCAGCATTAATGGTCCAAGCAAGTGCCTCAACTTGCATCCAAGAGTATTGAAAAAGCTGGCGATCTGGACCTGCTGATTTTTAAACTAACTTTAGTAGCTGCTGTTTAACATCTTCCTGAGATACTAGTGGAATGGAAAGTGTTATCCACTTTATATCACTACACAGACTCCTAGACTTTAAGATTAGATCATTTAGTCTGACCTCCTCACCCACCCACTCCTGTAATAGACCCCTAACCTCTGGCTGAGGTTACTGAAGTCCTCAAATCATGATTTAAAGACTTCAAGTTACAGAGAAACCATCATTTA